TAATATTTTTTGTGGACATTTTCAAGGATCTATTAGGTACAGTGGAGCCAAAGGTGAAAAGAAGGCGTTATGATCGGAATTTTATTATGATTGCAGTTCATTAGAAAATAAAGTGCAAGTCATAAAATGACTTCATACTATGGAAAGAAGAAAAAGGAAATGTTAAGTTGTTACTGCTTATCAGGTTTTGGTTTACACACACTTTCTTGGTTCAAACTTCGCTTGTTTAACGGTCTTGTTTTCTTCCTGCTCAGTTGTCAATCTTTGAATGAAATCCTGTTAAAACTGTAACCTTTCAACAGGGCTAGAAATCAGCGGCCGGTCAGTGGATAGTCTTCTACGCAGTCGTTTTTCATGTCGTCACGCTGAGGAGGAGCGTTGCGTGACGACACTAAAAACGGCTGTGTAGCAGACTGACCTGGAGAGAGCTTTCCGCAGACTTGAGGATATTGCTATGGCGATAAGAGGAGCCCGCAATCGTAATCTGCAGGTTGTTGTTACCAAGAATGAATGGAATGCAAAAAACGCAATTTGATCACGCACGTTTCGACCTTCTTTCGACCTTCTACCTTTCGTAATCTGATCACGCGTGTTTTCACCATCTGGCACGTGAAACTTACGCAAAGCACTGCGTTGGAGCAAAAGCGTTTTGACCTCCGATCGCTGTCGCGCGCACTCCCTAACCTTTGGTTATTACTAGTATATAAATTTTTAATGAAGATCTGACTGTCGCAGTTTTAAAAGCAATTTAAGCAATTGCATATTAACCGAAAACAATTTCAAACGCTTCAACAGGATTCGAACCCATGGCCTCATGGCGCTTTTACTGCGGTGTTCATATATTGGGAGCAGGCCAATTGGTGGAGTTTATCTTACTCCTGTGAAAGATTTTCTGAAGATGATCATATCTTCCGTCATTCAAATTTGTACTTCCGCAGTTTACATCATCTTCACAATAAAATGATGGTGTAATGGTTAAGAAGCATAGTTTCATCATGTTTATCAGGACCAGGGCCCGTCCGAACACGAGTAACTATTGCCTTAGAAATTAAACGCAGATAATTTTTCCTCTACCAAGTAAAATTTTTTGTACCAACATGTGCAGGAAAAAGACAAGTATTTTAATGTACACAGAATCAGTGATCCCATGGGCGGATTTAGGGGTTAGCTGAGTGGACCACGGCCACCCCTTTCTCTGTGAAATTTTAAATTTTTTGAAGAATTCGCAATAAAATATATCGTATCTATATGGCTGGCAAGTGTCCTTGTCGCCCTTTCCGAATTTTCAGGGTCCGCCTCTGGTGGACGACTTTAGAACACAAATACGAAAACTTGATCCATGAGACATCGTTTCCAATCAGTGTAAAGTTGTTATTTCTGTAACAAATAGATACCGTATAGCTTTGGCTCAATATATCTGGTGATGGTACATGTGTTTGATGTAATTTTCTACCGGCTCAGTTATTTTATTAACGTGTTACTATGTTTAAATTGAGACTAAACTACAAACAGTTGCGGGTATTGTATTTTAAGTAGTTTGTACATTTAGTATTTCTTATATTTATCAATATTTTTATCGCTGTGATTTGTTTCTGGTACAGTAAAACCTAGTCTGCATACAGCCGTTTTTTTCGTCGTCTCCCCGAGGAGCATTGCAAGACGACACTAAAAACGGCTGTGTAGCAGACTAGTAAAACCCCGCGACTAAGAACCTGGATTTTTTCATGGTAGCCTTAACAGGCTCTGATATAAATGATAGTTAGCACAAGTTCTTACAATAATTATAACTATAGCGTCTAGGAGCGATTTGCGTCGGGTTCTTCACGTACGAGTTTGATCAGATTATTACAGATTTCCCTTAAACATGGTATTTGCAGCTTATTTTCTAAAAAATGCGATTTGTTGTCCCAGGGTGGGGCATTTGTAACCTATTTTTAAGCCTCACCATGGGATTTTAGTATGAGGGCCCGGCCCCACCGTGAGCCATTTGCAGCTTTTCCAAAAAAAAAAAAAA